AATATTGGATTAGAATGACTTTTCAGAAACCAATAATAACACCTAGAAAAAGCATCCTGGCATGAAGGAACATGCGAGCACAAAGCAGGTGAGAAGACCAAAGTTTTGGTCCTCCTCTGGACAAATAAGAGTAGGATTCACTTAACACTACTTAATCTAAACAGACCTCAGTATCATTGGCTATAAAATTAAGAAAAGGGGAAAAAAATCTCTAACTGGTTCAGAAGTCTGATATGAGAAAAAATGATAAATGGATGTAAAGATGTAGTACAAATGATCTGCTAAGAAATATCTAATCAAGATGCTTCCACGTTGAAAACCCTTATTGCTCTGAAAATAAAGCTGGACTTCCTACTGCAGCCAACGAGACGGATCGTCAGTGGTCTGGCACACACATTGCCCCCGTGTGCACTGTCTCCTGCTTCTCCCTCTCCTGACAATCAGGCTCCAGTTACACGGCCCTCCTTTCTTCCCAGGAGCGTGCCCAAGAAGGTCTTCCCCGTGGTCGGAGCACGTGCACGTAGCGCGTCCTTCGTTTCAGAAACTCTCGACGCTTTTCCACGGACTCCCTGCGCTCCTTCAGGTTCCAGGTCAAACACCACCTCCCAAAAAGCCATTCAGTGCCCTGCCTACTTAGCAACCTTCACATCGGCCTTGTCCCTGCCCCTTGATCACATTCATTTCCCTTTATGTGTATGTGCTTATTTTACTTACCTCTGCCCTATTCATTAGCATTCCAACCACCCAGAACAGAACCTATTTCTGAGCACTTCAGTAAGATCACCACTAAATATTTACTGAAAAATGAATGACCATGAGAACACGGTATTAATAAATACAATGACTGCAGTGCTTATCTATTGCTTGTATTCTTTACAACGAAGTTACAAGCAAGGCATGACTAGTTACCTGTAACTGATGCTCAGGGAGGTTGTAGCATAAAGACACCAGCTACTATTTAAATGGCACAGATGGGATTTGAACCCAGGTCTACTGACTTCAACCAAATTACTATTCCACGCGGCCTCACTGACACCTCCTACCACAACTGATACATCTCTCCTTTAAACTCTGTTATCATTTTTGACATCACTTTATTCATCACGTTTTGCAATATTAATTTGGGCAGATTATTTCCACTCCTGCAAAATTTAGTGACTATGTCTTCTGAATCTCAATCACTGTCTAACATTCTACTCATCCACTCACTTAGCAAACATTTTCAGCTGAAAAAAATAATTGCAAGTAGAGTTATAAGTCAGGAGCATTATTACCTCTTTACCAGAGCAGTTTGTTTACTAAATTTCTTCCACACGTTAACTCCCCTGTAGAAAGCAACAGGAAGAGAAACTTATTGGTCCTAGTCTGAACCTTTAATGAGGGAAAATTTATTGTTCTGAAAAATTGTTATTATCCTGTGGATATTTATGTTCTTCTAGAACAATTGATTAAATATGTGGCATAAAGAAACAGACCTGTTTCAGTTAAACTTATTTTTTCATTTTTATTTTTTAAATGTTGGTAATAATTACACAACTTTTCTATGAGTCTGTTTCTATGAGTCTGTTTCAGAGTGTGCTTTGTAAGACTCTTTTTATCAACTATTTTGTCAACAAAGTGTTGAAACCACTGACGTAAAACATCTCCTCTTGGCTAATAACCCACTCTGACCATGTAATTTAAATAACTTTACTGCCCTAAACAAAGAGCAATCCTTGTGACTAGGATTTACCAGGCACTTTCTGACAGTTCCACAGTATCTAGTAATAGTTCTGTGTTTTCGCCTCCAACAACCACTTGGCAATTTATACACTAATACTACAGTCATCCTACACTGATAATCTTCATTACACAGACACTCCCCCAAATAATACTCTCTTTCCCTTTGTTTTAATATACTTTCTAAATACTCCTTATAGAAAAATTAAGTGTAAGGAATTAAATTACAACCTTCTAACACTTGTTATTCAATGGTACAAACACACTTTAAATAATTCTGTTAGAAGGGATACTTTTGAAAAGATTTATAATTTTCATATATATACTTTAAGTATTTATATAAGGATGATAAAATAATACTTAGGATATTATGTCATCTTTTATCAAAAAATGTAGGCAGCTAGAAGATGAATAAGTTTTGGGGATCTAATATATAAATTGGTGACTATAGATAATACTGCAACTATACTTGAGAATTACTAAGAAAGTAAATCTTGAAGCTTCTCATGACACACACACACACACACACACACACACACACACACATAGAGACACGGTGATGAATGCATTAACTAATCTTATCATGTCTTATCATGGTAATCATTTTACATAATTATACAAAATCATCACACTGTATACCTTAAACTCATACAATCTGCATACCAAACTACCATATCGCATTCCTGAAACTTACATAATCTTATATGTCAATTATATCTCAATAAAGTTGAAAACAAAAGAAATGTCAGGTAGACAAATGTGATATAAATTAAAATTTAAAGTACTTTCTTGAATAATCTCAAGAGCAATATGAATTAAAGCACAGATTACTTATTTTTAAAATTAAAAAATACATATGACATATATTTTAGGATTATATTTCAGGATAGGTACATGATGTTTTGAAATATCCTAGTATACCATTACTCCGAGCATTTGGAAATCACTCTTCCTACAATTCAGGGAAATTGAAAAACAGAATACTGTTAATTACAGTCTTTAAAAATCTTTAATCCATGTACATCCATTCTATACACCCATTTAAAAAGAGTGAGTTAGCAATGGCACAGAATTCCTCTTCTGCACTGGCCGAAATGCCTTCCTCCAGAACAGGAAGGCAAAGACAGTTATAGAAGTTCTTTGAGTTTTAAAATACTCAGAATTCCCCCCACACACACCACTATCTGTTGAGTCCAACAGAGACAAACATCATTTATTTGTAGGTTCTCATCCTAATTCTGTAATTAGTTTCTAAAAATCAATCTGACATCAATTGTCTTATATTCTATAATGCTTGAATATTTAGGGGTTATATTTCAAAGAAATAAATTTGCAAACAAAATACATGTATGAGTACTCCTCACTCCCCAGAAGTACTAGAGAAATGCTTTAAGCATCAAATTGTTTGTTAGCAAATAGATACGGTCTACATATATACATCCATGGAGGATTCATGTCCATGTATGGCAAAACCACGACAATATTGTAAAGTAATTAGCCTCCAATTAAAATAAATAAATGTATATTAAATAAAAAAACACTTTTTATACCTTTGAAAGCATATTTTTTAAATTTTAGGTTGGATTAGCATAATGTGGCATCATTATATTGTGAAGATTTCTAAGAAAAAGACTAAATGACCATAAAGTTCATTTTCACATCCAAAACAGTGTGATTATGTAATTCTCTGAGAAAAGGTGTACCACTGTATCACTGATGACATAATTAAACTGAAACAGTAATACAAAAATGGCATGCTAGTTTCTTAAACTATTTCGTGTAGATGCCTTATTCTTGAGAGCTTGGTGGTTTATTTACTGACTTAATGTCAGTTAACTTATCTAAAGAAAAGAGAAATAAGTTTTATTCAAATTTGAAATACAGCTCATGAAATCTGTCTGTCAGATTGTAGCTTATTTTTAATACCTAGCTTAAGATTTCTATAAAATACATGGATAAAGGCTAAAATACAAAGGCCTTTAACGAAGAGTTGCTTCTCAGCCACCAGAATTGGTGTTCCTGGGAAATTAGCTTGATTTACTGGACTTCTTTTGCTTTAACACTTAAAGGAGGAAACATAAGCAGCCCCTTCACTTGTTTCAGTTGGACAAATGAGGAAATGTGCATTTTATGGTAAGAAGTCTAGGGCTTCCCTGGAGGCTCAGCAGTAAAGAATCCACCTGCAAAGTAGGAGATGCAGAGATGCAAGTTTGATCCCTGGGTCAGGAAGGTCCCCTGGAAAAGGATATGGCAATTCCCTCCAATATTCTTGCCTGGAAAATACCATGGACAGGAGCCTGGTGGGCTACAGTCCGTGAAGTCTCAATGAGTCAGATACGACTTAGTGACTAAACAACAAAGGTCTAGTACTATTTGTATTGTGGTCCAGTCACTTGCTTCTTAATCTCTATGTTTTAAAACCTCTTGATATTCACAATGATACCAGTTTAGATACCTGCTCCATGAGCTCCTGACGATTAAGGATAGTTCAGCCATCCAAAGGATAACTTGCAAACACCCAGGAGATAGTCCAAGCCTCATGCATAGGATGTACAAATACCTATATTTAATATTCATGTGATTCCAGATCTACCAGCAACTGACCTTCTTTCTCTTGTGCTGGGAACAAGTGGTTCAGCACAGAATAGCGCAGAAAGGCGCCAGAAGAGACTGTAGGTTTCCTTGATCTTGGTCTATGCCCCACCCACAAGGAAAATCAATTCCTTCTAAAAAAATAGCAAAAGTTGGATGATGTCAGATATCCTTTCCTGTAATTTCTCATTAACAGAGGTACTGCTAGAGTATCTCTAGCATCAAACACATGGAAAATGAAAAGTCAAATAAGATATTATCAACATTTTTTGCAGTGATAAGCCACAGATAAGTCACCAGCTATACATTAAACCACTTATAAATCAAACTTATTTTACTTGAAACAGTCCTGGATATATATTACTAATATATATATATATATACACAGGCATATTTATTCAATTAGAGATATGTTCAGTCAGATATATAATTAAATTCTTCTTAAGAGAATCAAGTTAATAACAAGTAATCAGAAATCTAAATATATATATATGCGCATAAACCCACACACATTATTTTTGAGAAAATCAGATTATGAGCAATTAATGATAAGGGAAATCATAAGGCACTTTTGACCAAGTCAAAACATAGTAATGTTTATTACAAGAATTGCACAGATATTTCATATTCCTGTCAAAGGATATAGCAAGTAAACATTTCCATGTAAGAGCATGTCATATGCATGATACCTTTTCATGGACTTTCTGGCCAGGTTCCATCCCTTCAAGATGTTCAGATTCTGTGGATCCCTCACTTGATACCATTTTTCTTTGTATATGAACATTTTGTTCACGCAAGGCAACAATCTGCAAAATAAAAACATTGTGCCTTTAAAATCTAAAATACCAACATGAAGTATAAAAAAATTCGAGTTTACTTGAATGTGGTTAAGAACTAGTAAATACAAACAAATAATCATAATAAACATTAAATTATACTCATTTCATAAATATTTCTAAAATTTAGATTAGCATTTTGAAAAATATTTATAATATTTATGGAATGTAAAATTTACTTAAAATATTTTCTAGTTGGAAAAATGTATCTATCAAGTTTGAAATGTTTGTAAAGTAGTAGGATCCATGAGTTATTAATTGAGAAATTCTTAGTTTATGAGATGAAGTAAAATTTGTATTAGTCTGAATCCTTAAAGCATAAAAAAAAATAAAGACTGAATACTGAAGACCAATTATGAGCACATTCATCTTCCCTAAGAGACAGTACATCTGCAATTTTAAAACAAGCAAATAAATAAACTGGACTTAATTTTGTACCACTACCATAAGCACTTAACTGGTGCTTAAATTGGTCTTAAATTGGTCTCACTGTCATTATTTTAACAGCCATTATCTTAGTAGTTCTAGTCCAAATATAGTTAATTTACAAAAAAAATTCTCAGAAGGCAATTAATTCTTGTAAAACATTAGCTCAGTTTGATACACATGATACTTTGAACTAAGAAACAGATTCTCAGATAGTTGTAGTTTAAGTGATCTTAATAATGTACAGAGTGGAAATCATATTCTAGCATTTTAAAATGGTGTTTTAAAATATATTTGCTATTTACACATATAATTTCAAAAGTCTTTTACATTATATCAATACCACAAGTTATTCATTTCTTGGCAAATTTTATCATAATATCAACTTAGATATTGAGTCAGTATTGGTTCTAAGGGAAATTAATGTCCATTGTATTCAGTACACAATAAATATTGAATCATATTAAACTTACATGTTGAAATTATAAGATGAACATGTCACATAGACAAATAATTATCAAATAAACAAAAGACATCAAGAGACTGGTTATTTGTCCTACTGTCTGCCACTGCTGCCTGTATGCCAATGCTGTATTCTTGAGAAAAAGTGATTTTGCATATGACCTCCAGCAGTTCAACACACATTTCTTAAGGGCATATCAACATAATGAAGAACAACTCTGAAAAGGTTCATCTCTCTTGAAGTACTGCGATCACCAAATAACTGGTTCCCTAAAATATCATTCTTGCCCATCTACAATCTATTATCCACAAAGCAGCCAGATTCATCTTCTAAATTTAAGTTATATTGTGTTGCTCTTTAGCTTTCCAAATAACCTCTCTGATTTTCCCTATTTAGCATAATTTTAAACTTCTTGACCTTCAGGATCCTTTTGACTACAATGGATTCCTTTCAGTCCCTCAAACAGACTGGACTCTTTCTCACTCAGAACTGAGGAACTTGCTCATATTCCTATCTGAAGCATTCTTCCCCAGCTCAGATTACACCTGACACAATCATATTTCAAAACTCAGCTGAAAAACATGCTCCTCAAAGTACCTAACCACTATATGTTTTATAATATATCTGTGTTTATTTCAGTGTGCACCTTACTCATTAAAATCTAATATTTTATTCCTTTATTTACTTACTCACTTTGCTTGTTTATTTAGCTAGCAGAAGTCCTAATGACATCTCACGGGAAAATAATTTTCAAAGGAATACCTTATTGAAGACAACATTTTCAAATGAAGCAGCACATCACATTAGTATGTGCAAGGATTCAATATAAATGTTAAATTAAATAGTGAATGGGTATGGAAAACCAAAGAATATAGATCTAATTTATTCAGAAATAACCATAGATAAAGATTTAGAGTGCTTGAGAATCTTCAGAGACGTTCCTCTCATGTTGGCATAGAAATGAATTACAGCAAAGGAAAAGCAGGAGTGAAACAGTCTCTGAATAGATCATTTTTATATTATATTCTTAACATCTTGTCTCTTGCAGAAAGCAATAATACTATACTACTATCAGTACATAATAAAACTTTATTATGAAATTTTAAAAATTAAAGACTTGTATATTGAGATCTCACTAAGGCAACATCCAGCACAGTCATGTCCAGCTCTTTGCAACTCTATAGACTATAGACCACTAACTAGGTTCCTCTGTCCATGGAATTCTCCAAGAAAGAATACTGGAGTGGGTAACAATTCCTTTCTCCAGGGGATATTCCTGACTCAAGGATCGAACTAGAGCCTCCTACATTGCAGGCAGATTATTTATCATCTGAGCTACCAGGGAATCACAGATAACATCCATGACTTAACAAATAATGTTAAGGCAAAGGTAACAACAAATTTAAAAATTCTTTGCATTTTCTTCCATTATTTAATTTACTTAGAAGTGAAAAGAGACCTTTTAAAAAAATTTCTCACTTTACAGAATAACTTCCATTTGTATAGTAATTCAGATAAATATCAAATATACCCTAGTGCCTAAAATAAAGTGGTCATCTGTAAAGATTTACTGAAATGACTCAGTGAAAGGATGAATTAATGACCTTAACTAAAAAAGTCAAAATGTCAAATTCATATAGAAAACTTATGTCAATATGCTGTGCCACTATGTTAAAAACTGCAAACTTTCAGTTTTTCATAACATATACCCATGACAATTCCAAGAAAGACAAACTTTTCAGCCACTAACATGCAAACTCTGCTTTTTCTAAAAAAACATCAATCTCACAAATTAGATTTCTGAAACTGGAGAACAGATGCAAAATCCTCTATATTCTCTATCGTTCTAATATGGTTATATTCTGTTCTATTTTTGCCTAACAACAAATTATCCTGAGCAGTTCTGAAAGCAAAGCTTCAGCCTCTGATTTAATTGTAAGTGTTAATAAGCTTGATCCTTCCTTTCACACTGGGGAAAGTGAGAGGTTCTCTCCTGTGAATACTACTTTGGGGGTTGGGCTCGCCCTTCTGTGTGTGTTCAAAGGGGCAGAGAAGGTCACCTAGAAATCTGTAGCTGAAGGTAGACCTCTTTAGGAAATTCTCCCGGCTGGCTTCACAAACGAATGCAGAAGGTGGCTTGGGAAGTATTTTACAAATAGCAAGTGGAATGAAAAGCGACTGATTCTCTGGGCTGTACTGACAGTGGATGCTCTTAAAGGGAGGGCTGAAGTGACTTGTCTGGAATACCAAAGCAGGACTGAATCCCTCATTGCTAAACTGCTAAACCTACTACAAATAGGGTGGCGTGGTGGGTAAGAGGAATCGTTCCTGGGGCGTCTCTGTTGCTTGCTCAGTTGCTATGTAACTGCAAGAATGTACTGGGAGCCCACCATGTTAAACTATTTTCATCTGCAAATTAGGTCTTACGATCCACATTTAGCAAGTGATTAAACTGAGACAAAGAGAATTTGATGAGAACTAAGGAATCAAATAAAAGTCCTCATCTTTCGGTTTTTTACTCTATCACATTGTCTTACATGGCTTTGCATTTGGGCTCTGATAAATCAGGGGAAATTAACAGAGGGTGAGGGTGGGTAGGAAGCATTTATTTTCCAAGTACTGTTGTCTGCCCACCCTGGGCTCCGCTGTACTTCATTAAAGTATGAACCCCTCCCTGGAGAGATCCACCTGTAGGCAGAACTCGGCATGTATTTTTATGCATATCAATCCACTGAAGGCCCATGACACTCTGGTCAAGAGTCTTTCCACAACCATTTTAACTGATAAACCATGATTTGTCGAGTGTTTGTTGACATTTGTTTTTAAATGCCCAGAATTCATTCATATTTCTCTTGTTGATGACATCTTACATTTTCACTGGGGAATTTTCCTCCTCAGCTCTCATCCAGGACATCCCAGGTGGCGCTAGAGGTAAAGAACCTGCCTATTGATTCAGGAGACTAAGAGATGCTGGTTGGAAGCCTGGGTGGAGAAGATCCCCTGAAGGAGGGCCTGGCAACCCACTGCAGTATTCTTGCCTGGAGAATACCATGGACAGAGGTGTCTGGGGCTGCAAAGAGTTGGACTTGACTGAAGCAACTTAGCATGCACTCTAATCCTAGAGATACTGTCAGTCCAGCAGCCAGAGCCCATGGCAGATGGGGAGCACGTGATCTAAGTCAGCAGCTTCCTTGAGAGAAGCTTCTGGCAGAATTATAGGATAAGAGCCTCTTTCTAGTATGGAAGGTAGGCTAGTGGGATATGATCAGAGCACTGTTTGCTATCAGTTCCTCCTCTAAGAGAAGCAGATAGAAATGATGGAGCCCTGATGAATGACTTCTACTGCTGGTTTTAGCCATTTTTAAATCAATTTTATCCCTGTCATCTCCATAAAATGAGCCCTCAATTTTGTCTTTGTGCTTAAACTTTGTATTGATTTTCTGTCACTTGCAACTAGAAGTGTCCTTGCAAATATAACAGGGAACATGGAATGCAACACAACACATTCAATATCTAAATGGGGATTTGGAAAAATGACTAAGAATTTGTGAGCGAGGCAGTAGAAGACAACTTTTCAGTAGTCAGAAGAGCATGAGCTCTTTGTCTTCCTAGTACTGCAGGCTGTTTAATATTCCTGGGGCAAAACATATCTGGAAGAAGATAAAAAATGACAGGTGACTCAGAAAGCTAAAGTATTTCAGCTAAAACTCAGGCATCTGTGTGATTCTCGCTCTTCAGCTTATTGGTGAGCCTTGACCCTTCTTTGTGTTTCTTGATAGGTTATTAAGCTTCTGACAGCCTGACTCTGTTTCTAGGCACTCCCAAATCCATTATATTTCCAAGGCAACCTTCCAAGTTATTATTATTTTTTCTTTTGACCTTTGCCTCTGTTGGGTTGCTTTTGGCCCTGATCAATCTCTGAGAAGCTCTGATCTCACTCAGTGGACTATGGGTGGTCTTGATGGTCTGTCTTCCAGTCAGGAAAATTACCCAGTGCCCATTCCTTTATTTCTATCAGACTATTTTGTGAGGAAACATTTAACAGGAGGCTTCCTGTGTGTTGTTTTGGATCTTTCATGAA